ATTTATCTCGATGTCTAGATATATATATATATATATATATATATATATATATATATATAAATATATATAAATTTGCAAGAAATTTATCAATCATCAAATCAATTCAAGAAATGTTTGTTGTTTGCTATTTCGCTGTCGTCATGCAGTCGTTATAATGTAAACTTTAAATTGGACCAATCAGTGTCCGCTATTCGTGACGGACTGACAGTCCGCCATATTTTTGAGATCAGTGAGGATAACCACCCACCCAACACTGTTGGTGACCCACGCCCGCGATATTTGATGAACTTTAGACTCCGCTAATGCTTTCGTTTCCCCGGGTGTAAATAGCCGGGGGGGATTAGTACCCTCGCACGGCGCTTCGCGCGGTCGGCTCGGGGATTAATCCCTAATTGTGCTCGCCATCGCATGATTACCTATACTAATCTGTGTAAATATACATATCAACTGGCGTTATCTGTATACGTACTGTTTTTGATCTTTTAAAACAAAGACGTTTATAAACAAATAACAATTATTCACCACAATGTAAATATTTTCCAATCGCAATACTAATTGCTGTCCGATAATATTTAAGTATTTTCTCAATACATAAGGCTAAATAAACTTTGTAAGTATATCAATCAATCAGTCAATCAATCAATCAATCAATCAATCAATCAATCAATCAATCAATCAATCAAGAACTTTATTTTAACATGGTGAAATCTACAGTATAACATTTTACAAGATAATTAACTAACATATAGGCTAATTACAATTACTCTATGACAATTAATATACACTTTAAACTTATCCAAACACTAAAATACTGATTTACAAGATTGCCGTGCGGGAGTCCATCGCATATAGAGGACAGATTGTCAATTGCTCTTTTGAATTGACTTAGAGAGCATGTTGTTCGTACATTTTGCGGTAACTCGTTCCATAAAACTGCTCCGCTATAACTAAAACTTCGCTTACCGCAGTTCGTTCTTGGTTTTGGTACAAATAAGGTGTGTTCAGTGTTTCTTAAATTATATCCTGGGCTGCGAGATTCAAAGAATTCAGAGTGTATCTAAAAGTCGAGGGTCGAGAGTATAGGTCGAGAGTCGAGAGTAAAATTCGAGAGTAAAAGTCGAGAGTCGAGAGTAAAAGTCGAGAGTCGAGAGTAAAAAGTCGAGAGTCGAGAGTAAAAAGTCGAGAGTCGAGAGTAAAAAATCGAGAGTCGATCGAGAGTAAAAAGTCGAGAGTCGATTGAGAGTAAAAAGTCGAGAGTCGGGAAATGTTATCAGAAACCGTAAAGTCAAAATATTTTTAACACAATATACTGTATAACCGATCGGCGTAACAACGGCCAGGGACGCCGGAACTGGGAGGGGGGGCAGTGGAGGCGGCTGCCCCTCTTGCCTTTTCCTAGGGGGTGCAGGGGGGCAGAAGCGCCCTTTTGGTTGTAAAATACTAGGTGATAAATCACATTTCCAACGATGCTTTTTGTAGGAAAATCATGAGATTCAGGTAATTTATAGTTTATATTTATAAAAATTTTTGAAAATTTTTGGAATTTAGAAAAATATTTTGAAGAAATGGCGAAAGTAAAGATATGCCGAAAAATTTTTGATTTTACGGAAAATTTTGGTATGTCCGGAAAAAAATTTTGACCCCTAAAATGGTACACTAACCGAAAATGTTTTGGCGACGCGGGGGGGTGGGGGGTCGCCCAAAAATTTCCATTGAAAAAAATATTTCCGGTAGATTTTGAAGTTTTGCTTTATAGAGGTGCCCTTGCTGTGCGTCCGCCACCTTTGCCTTATTATCATTCCGGCGTCCCTGACAACGGTTGATTATAGCCGTACGGACGAGGGGGGAGGGAGGCAGTCCCGCCCCCCAGTCAAAATAAAATCATGCAAATTATAAACGTATAAATTCGGGCAAAAATATATTGGGGGAAATAAATTTAAAAAGAAGACAGTACATGCAATATAGCATTTGAAAATACCAGAAATATGTAAAAGTAACGAGGAATTGACAAATAGGAAAATATTTTTGTTTACTTCCCAACGACAATTTTGGAAATTTAGTTACGCGGAAAATTTTATTGTAAAAGTCGGGTAAATTTCTTTCTGGCTCCCTGATGTTTCCCGCCCGTGCGCCTATGACGGCTGAACTAATTTCATTTCCTGTGTATCGGAACATAAAGACCAAAGCAAACAATATTTGCGAAACATAATAGTTTAGTATGCTCAAATTCTCGAAATTAAAGCAAACAAGAGGCATATACAATCAAAGGATTAATCCAGTATAATATAAAACAAAAACTTTCTCAAAAATTTAGCCACAACATTCAATAATAATAACTATTATCTAATAACTAGTTTTATCGCTTCCTTATATATATATTACTGTCCATTACCTGCAACTATTACCGCGAAAAATTACTCATATGTGAAGCTATACATATATACTAGGACTTTACAATCACGTGCGAGACATATTACCATCACACCATACGATAAAAGAATCCTATTTTTACTGGCTCGTATTTATGAATTCACAATTGTATGATTCGTAAGATTGTGATCAACTTGGATTTCTTAATACGCTCTCGTTTGATATAAACGTATGTTAATGAATAAAGCCCCCCGTTTACACTACGCTCAATTTTTGGTACGGCACGGATAAAATTGGTACCCGTACCAATTTTTTGGTTCTTGGACCATCTATTTAGCTAAGCCGCGTTTACACTACGCTCAATTTTTGGTACCGTGCCACTTTTTGGTTCTTGGACTACCTAAATAGGTAGTCCAAGAACCAAAAAAGTGGTACGGGTACCAATTTTATCCGTGCCGTACCAAAAATTGAGCGTAGTGTAAACGGGGCTTTAGTTTCAAGCCAGGAGATGGCTGTCAAAATTCAGCGGAGTTTATGTGTCAGTTATAGAATGAAATCATATGTGAAAACATTCAGTAGCAAGATTGAGGCATCAAATGCGATATTATTTTCTTATCCAATCTTTTCTGTTCACGTTATTATTATTGACTGTTGTAGCAATATTTATTGGAAAGTTTGTATTTCAGCCGTTGGTACTTGTTACGGAATGGCTATGTAAAGCTATATATAGCAGGCATTAAAATAGCGAGTCCTTGTACACACTTTGTGTCCTTGTAAAAGGCGAATGTGCCCTTGTAAATTGAAAAGTGTGTACTTGAAAATATATTAAACTGAAAATATATTAATGTAATCCACGCAAAATGGCCAATTAAGATTTTGCAAATTCTGTTCTCAGAACTCTGGAAATGCCATTTCGGAGACCCCTTTAAAAGCTTGCGTCTTCGACGCTAAACTTGTGGCTTCGGCACTCGTTCTCGTGAATCTGCGCATTTATACCAAAAATACGCCTCTGAAGGCAAAGTGTGTCCTTGTAAAAATTCCGTATTTTAATGCCTGATATATAGATTGTGTTAAACGTGGTTAAAAATATTTTGACTTCGTTGTTTCTGACGACATTTGCAGACTCTCGACTTTTTACTCTCGATCGACTCTCGACTTTTTACTCTCGACTTTTTACTCTCGACTTTTTACTCCCGACTCTCGACTTTTACTCTCGACTCTCGACATATACTCTCGACTCTCGACCCTCGAATTTTGGATACACTCAAGAATTCATGGAGATAAAACGGAGTTAGTTTGTTAAGTTAATTGATTTAAACATTAGTATAGCCTTATGCTTTTTCCGACGTGTTAAAAGATCATCCCAGCCCAGCTTACTAAAAGTTTGCTGGACCTAGCATCACATTGAGATTTAATAATGACCCTCGCTGTCCTATTTTGCAACTTTTGCAACCTGTCATTTAACGTGATATTCAAACCATCCTAAACTGAGCTACAATAATCAAAGTGCGGTTGCATTAGTGCTCCATAATTAAATTTTCAGATCAGTGTTTGTATCTATAAATTGGCGTACCCGTTTAATAAGAGCTCCAATAGGTGATGTAATCTTTTTGGAAATATTTTCGACATGTCGTGTCCATGTAAGATGCTCATCGATTTGCAAGCCTAAGGATTTCGTTTCGTCGACACGCTTAATTGTTTTTGCGTCGATTTCTATCCTTATGTGTTCGTTGTCATGTACTAGTAATCTTTGTCGAGATCCTATTATCATGAATTCCGTTTTAGCTACGTTAAGACTCAGTCTATTAGCTAGTAGCCATTGATGAAGATTTTTTAATTCGGAGTTTATTATTTGCCCAAGCTCCGTAATGGAATTTGCTGCGATGCTAATATTGGTGTCGTCTGCAAACATTCTTGGAGAGGCTCTGTTGAGACAATTTGGTAAATCATTTATGTATATTAAGAACAATAGAGGTCCCAAGTTACTGCTTGTGGTACCCCACAGGTTATTTTAGCTGTTTCGGATAAATCACCATTGGCGCAACATCTTTGACTGCGGTTGCTTAGGTATGATTCGAAGAATTTGATACCATTTTCATCAACGCCATAAATTCGTAACTTCCGTAAAAGAATGGTGTGATCAATAGTATCAAATGCTTTTTTAAGATTTTTTACTCAAATAAGAAGGCCGTTATCTATATTTATTGACCAATTATCTGTGGCTTCTATTAGGGCAGTTTGTTTACTGTGCGGCAATGATCGAAATCCAGATTGAGACGCAGATATTAGATTGTTGTTGTTCAGATAATCATACAACTGCTCAAATGTAAACTTTTCAAAAATCTTTGCTTCAACAGAAATAACAGATATTGGTCGATAGTTGTTGATGTCGTCTTTTTTACCTTTCTTAAAAATTGGAGTAACTCTCGCTAGCTGCCAGTCTGTAGGAAAGATATTTGTACTTATAGTCTTATTAAATATTTGAGTTATTAATGATGGGGATGGGGCAACTATTTCAGCTGCAATTCTTAAAAGTTTGCAGTGTATTTTATTAAGACCTGCTGCTTTCCTTTCATTAATTGCTTTTAGTTTTTTGTAAACTGTATATACGGTGAGGGATTTTATTGAAAATGTGGTTTCAGCAGGCACAACATATGCGTCAGGTTCTACGGTAGAGGGTGGTATATCGGATGCTAAATTTTCACCCACCTAGCAAAGTGAGAATTAAATGTCTCCGCTATTTCCTTGGGTGTATATATAGTTTCCTCACCCACTTTGATATTGGATGTTGTTTTGTGGCTAGAGACATTACGAGAGTTTAGATCGTTAACAAGTTTCCAGGTTGATTTTGGATTTTTATTATTAGCCTCAAGGTTAACCATAAAATATTGCTTCAGTTGGCTGGTGATCCAGGGAGATTTCTTTTTCACAACTCTTTTTGATCTGTGTGGTGCGTGCTTATCAATGCAATTAACATGTTCTTCTATTTCACCAACATTTCATTAGGATCATTGCTTAGGTTTACGTCTGCCCATGCTTGTTGTTCTAAATCTCTTAAAATTTTTCTGTGTTAAAATTTTTCATGCTTTTTATTTGAACTAGTCGCCAGCCTTTTTGTTTGTACTGGACTTTGTGTGTCATATAGACTAAAACATTGTCACTTATATAGAAAGTTGTCACTTCTATTATCCCTGAATTTACGATCTTTGATGGAGCGTTTGTAACACAAAGATTCGATTCAATAAGGGTACAAGAATATGGTGTAGTTCTGGTAGGATCCACAATAAGTTGTTTTAAGCCAAAAATTTCGAGTATATCATTCAATTTAATTCCATTGGTTGATGTTACACCCAACATAAGATCTACGTTTATGTCACCTAGGAGGAAATAGTCATGATTTGTCGCATCAACTTTCTCTACTATTTTCTTAAAATAATCAAAGTGGCACACTGGTCAGTCTGGGGGCTTATGCCAGGTACTAATTAATAGTGATCTAGTTTCTGGGGGCCTATGCCAGGTACTAATTAATAGTGATCTAGTTTAGTAATTTCTACAGTTAGATACTCTAATTCATCAGAGCTTAAATCTTTGCAAATTTTGTAGTTAAGATTGCGTCTTATATAGATACAACCCCCCCCCCCCATGTCGTCCATTTATTTTTGTATCCTTTCTTACTATTTCGTAACCAGGTATATAAACCTCATTATCCTTAATTGAAGAATCAAGTTTTGTTTCATTGATTGAAATAATATCAATATCAGATTCATTCATAAAAACTCGAAATTCATCAATATGTGCTAAAAGACTATTAATATTTAGAGAGGCCATCACTAAACCTTTACCAAACGGTTTATAATTAATATCAAAACACTTACGGGTTCAGAATCCCGCCTGGCATTTTCTTTATCATTAAGGTTACAGAACACCTTTGAGTGTAAATATTGCCTAAATTTTTTTGTTGGGTTCCGTGAAAGCATTAGACTAGTTCCACTATCTGACCAAGTTTGGACGAAAAATGTTGAAAACTCGCAGAGTTATTTAATAAAATACATTTCGCTGCAATAAGAAAAACATTGAAAATGTAATATTCAAATTCAATTTTCTCCCGAAGAATTTTACGGCAATTACTGATTTTTACTTAATTGAGTTGTGCTCCTGCGCGTTTTAACGAATTTTTCTCAAATTTTCACAGGACATAGCTAAAGACGTCAGTATCAAAACGTGTTCGGCTTTGTTCTAATTTTGGATGTTTTAATAATAAGGAGGAATTCACACAAACGATTCAGAACTATATTGCAGTCGTCAAAGAAATCGCCATATCAGGGGAATGACGAAATAAACAAAAATTTCCGAACACAGTTTTTTAGAACAACTATTTTAGTGTATAAAAATGATATTTTCATAAATATAACTTAAAACCAGCAGGAACACACATGTAACTAAAAAGCGTAAAGGTACCGCGACTTAAGATTTTCCTGAATAATTCTTACATTATTTTATTGTGTGTCAATTTTACAACTTTACCATATTTGCGGCATGCACTGGATAATATTTGGTGAAAATTTGATGAAAATCTGACTGATTTTGAGCGCGCAGTAGCGATTTTTCACAAAACGCCAAAAAGGGTGTTTTATAACCTTAAAATGAGTCATTCCTGATGAGTTTAATTTGTTGAAAGGCGATTCAAGCGAGAAATCAGCTTCAACAGTTCCTCCAGCTGGTTTATTGTTCCAGTTTGAAAATCCCGTCTGGGGAGGTTACGCAGTTGGTTTGATGGTTTTCGTCCTTTAATTAATGAATTTGATGAAATGGGTTGCTAATATTGCTGTAACCTTTGAATTCAAGTGCAGCTTACTGAAGTTTAGAGAGGTTTCCTCCAAAGATGAGTTATCAATAAATTTAACACTATGATTTAGTGAGATGGTCTTGATCTTCTCGTTAAACTCATTAACCTTTGAGGTCGAGTCGATGTCTTGTCTTGTTGTGATACCAAATATACCAATATTTCAATTAGGAAATTTCTCCTTCACTCCAACAATAAGTTCTTCAATGTCGTTAATACATTCGTCCACGGATTGCGAAGGGATGTTGTTTGTTCCCGCATGAACTACTACGTAGGAAGGCGTTAGGTTTGAATCGATTGTATTGATTTTATTGTTTATTTCTGAGGCCGTTTTACGAGGATAAGTAAATTTATGCACCTTTTTCTTTGACAATTTTGTTCGAATAACGTGTTTTACAATGGAATTACCGATGATGACTCTGCTTTGTTTTCTTCCTGTGATTTTTCTTTGTTTTGGTTCTACGATCTGTTATGTGTCCAGTTAAGTAAGGTTCCGCCGTTATTACTCCAATTTAATTGAGGTGTTAATCAGGATTGTTGACTAACGTCAAGGTTAATTACACTTGGATGTTGTTCCCCAATTTCATCGCCCACCTCATCATTTAAGGTGTCAAAACTGTTGTGCAAGTTCAATGTAGCGGATGCTTGATTGTCTTTAATAGTTCCTAATACACCATAATATCTAAAGCGGTTTTATTTGATCGTGTTAACCCACAATTCTCTATCAAAGAATCACCTTACCAAAATTCATGCTATATTTCACCAATGTTGACAAAATGATCATGATGGTTAATTTCTACCGTTTGACAAGTAATTAATCGATCGATCACGTGATCGCGTGCGCACGAACGCAAAAAGCTCTCCGATAAACTATAAAATTTAACGATAAAAATCTAAAGTCTACAGTATAACTTACTGTACATTGGTGGATAAAGACCTACTCATTGGATCTCCGAAGTTTATTTACAAATACTTGCTTTTAATTGGTTAAAATTAACGGTGACATTGCTGTTTTATTGTGATTTTCTTGTTACTGAAATCGGAAAATTCGTTGAAATTTCCTGCGCGCGCGTGATACGCCACACAACGTGCTGACGAAGTTTATATCTTCAACGTTTTAGCTGACGACTTTCGAAAACTACAGAAAGCGCGTAACTATTGTTCACTAATTAAAGCAATTACGGAACTACTCATCAGACAATTGGACATGATTACGAAAATGAGGAAAGAAAAATTGCTAAAGATTTTCCATTGGTGTGTGTGTCTTGCAGTAATCTTTTGGCTGTCAATTAGATCCAAACCTGTCTATGTTCTTGTCAACATCAAAATAGCTCCTGAACGTTTTCCGATCTCCTCCGAACTAACATCAACACCAGAACGACTGAGCAACTTATCTACCTCCTCCGCAGGCCATACAGCCCGTAATAAGTATGCGTGTTCGCAGGTTTAAATTTGAAATTTGAGACGAAGGCTTGCGTAGCTGTAAGGCCTGCTGAATAACATGTCGATTACTTGGCTTTTGGTGTCGATTACTCGGTTGGGTCAATTTTTTTCAAAAATATGGCACATTGTCTGCCAATCTTTCGCAATCCCGTTTTGCGAGTACTTTCTAAATACATCTTGGCAGTTATGGCTGATAAAAGCGACGAGGAGATTCAAATAATGGAGGGTTTTACAAGCACAAGCGACAGTGATAATAGACGTTGTGAATCTATCATTTGGCCAAATGGGATATTTTGACTATATACACACGCATTTAAATAGTTACACTGTATAAAAGACAAATATAAATGGAATAAATGTCGTGGATGAACGGCCGCATGCCTGACATACGACGTGTTACATAAAAGCGCTGCGTGTTTGTAATATGCAAATTATAAACTGATATTTATCTGTTTCTATTTATAAATCATTGTATATGCTTGATTGTTCAGTGTTCACTGTTTTTAGGTATATTGCTGATACGAGAAGCGGTCTATATCAGAAGTAGTTAAAGACTAATTTAACCAGGGACGCCGGAACTGGGGGGCAGGGGGAGGGGCGGCTGCCCCCCTTGCCTTTTGCTAGGGGGGGGGCAGGGGGGCAGAAGTGCCCTTTTAGTTGTAAAATAATACGTGATAAATCACATTTCCAACGATGCTTTTTGTAGGAAAATCACGAGATTCAGGTAATTTATAGTTTATATTTATAAAAAATTTGGTTTTGGGAAATTTTTTGAATTTAGAAAAATATTTTGAAGAAATGGCGAAAATTTAATGGGTAAAATGATATATTAAATATAATTTGGATTGTGACTTCCCGCCATTTTGGAAAATTAGTCTGCAGGCCTTTCGGTTCGTTTCGCGCCAATTTTATTTTTTTGAAAGGCCTGCGGAGGAGGTAGGCAACTTATGGATTTCAACGCGCGATAACATTTTAAGAAAATCTACTTCGCCAACAAACCACCGTTACGGATTACAGTTTAAGAACATACATCTGCTTTTTGTGATCGTACTTGCTGGTGACATTGCTAGTAACCCAGGTCCCAACAGTCAACATCTTCGGTGTCTTTCATTCAATGCGCAGAGTATTCGAAGCACTAGAAAGTTACCTGACGGATCATACGCTAGCAATTTAAAATCCTTTCAAGACCTTGTTTACGCTGAGGAAATCGATTTAATTTTTGTGACAGAATCATGGCTCAATGATAACTTTTCGGATAAAGAGATTCTTCCCAAAGGTTACAACATCGTAAGGAAAGATCGGTCAGCTAACCAACGCGGAGGTGAGGTCTTCATAGCATTGCGTGATGACATCCCATACACCAGAATTACTGCTGGAAGGAATGGTCCTAACTGGTCAGATCGCCTAGAGATTGTCGCTATCGAACTCGATATGTGATTGTAATTGTGAATTTGTGGGTTTAATTCAAAGAATTAAATCTAGATTTCTTTCTACACCAAGTCAACATTTATCCCACCTGACAGAACCACATTCTAGATCTCATCCTAACATCCGCTTTCGAGAATGTCGATAACCTCTCGTGCATTCCACCTTCAACTATAGGTATCTCCACCCAGGGGCGTAGGAACCGGGGGGGGGGCGGGGGGGCCCCCCAAGTTTTGGCAAGTGCCCTTTTTCCCGGAGCAAAGTGCCCTTTTTTTGCCTGAAAATTTTCCCCGAGCCTGCGGCGCGAAGCGCCGTGCGAGGGTACTAATTCCCCCCGGCTATTTACACCCGGGGAAACGAAAGCATTAGCCAAGTCTAAAGTTCATCAAATATCGCGGGCGTGGGTCACCGTGCGTGGGTGGTCATCCTCACTGATCTCAAAAATATGGCGGACTGTCATGGATAGCGAACACTGATTGGTCAAATTTAAAATTTGTTGTTGTATGACAAATGACGACTTCAACTGACAGATACTTCATGAAAATAATTTGCTTTTTGCACTACAGTATTTTGTACGTTTGCAAAAAACTTTGACAGCTTTCAAAGCAATTTGTGATATAAAAAGTTTAATAAAACAATTACGGTATCAAATACCAATTGAAAAGATATGGACTACTGTATGGAGCCAAATGAAGAGCGGCAAGGAAACGACAAGAAAGCCGAACGTCTAGCGAAAAGGAGGGAGCTAGCGAAGACGACAACGTTTGCTCGAGGAGACTGCTGAGGAAAGAGAAGCTCGCCTGGGAAAGCGTAGAGAAGCATGGAAAAAAAGACTGCTGAAGCGAAAGGTAAGCAAAGGCTTGTCTTCACAACGCTATGTACCAATGATACTGTAGCCATATATACAAGTTGAGGTATGATATTCGACCCTCTATATTCGACTATTTCTTCACAATTTTCCAATAAAGAGTTTGTCATGACACGCTCAAGTCAGTATAACCAGACTGTATTTTATTTATATCAGTTATCACAGCCACAGGCCATTTTATGCTGTCAAATACCGTCAGTTGCAACTAAGGGTGAACAGTTGCAGATAAAACATTCTCTATTGTCATTAAAAAGCCTGTAAAAGTTTCCAGTAGGTCTCTAGCCCAACACGTTCAGACCACACAAAGTATTGTTACTTATTATTGTACACATGGGAAACAACAATTAAGTGTTGTTGTTCTTGACAAACATTGGAGATTCTAATCACGCGAATGTTTTTATGAGCAACTGTTCATCGTTAGTTGCAAGCGACGGTACAAACATTTTTCCGACTGTGACCGAATGTGCAACGATATATTTTTCAAAGTTCTTATCAATTCCTAAAATTTGTTTATAGTAAAACGGCCTGCTCAGCACTCACTACTCACGATGATTTCATTTAGAAATGCAGTTACCAGGAAAGGAACTGATTCTAAAATATGTAAATTTAAAAGCATTGGCTAACAGAATAAAGCGATGTGAAGACAAGGTACAAACTTTTATAGTTGCTATTTGTTATAAAATCCTATAAATAAACCGATTCAACAATAATTTTGCCTCGAATTTGCATATTCTATGCCGCATATGTTTATATTTTATTTTTATAGTATAAAAATAAAATTGTAATACTATGAAATAAAATACATTTCTGTTTATTGACCATGCAGTACTTATTTAATGTCTTCTTCATCCAGTGGCCAGAGTAAATTTCTACTTCTAGCAAGTAAATATTTGACAAGCAGTCTGGAATAAGCACAGGAATAAGCACAATAAGCCATTTTATAGTAGCAACATGAAAAGTTTTTTCTTTTTCCATGACTTTTAATGCATCAGCCAAATCCAAGTGTGCCAATCCCCCTCGCCCAGTCATTTTCCTGTAAAGCACGTCCCGGGGGTTGGGTATTTCCACTCGAACCTTAGCCCCGGCGGGGCATTTGAAATTAATAATTTGGATTCTTGCACTTCACTTGTGGAATTAATATTAGAATGTTAGGGTTTGTAATCCAAGTGAGAATATATACATGTATATATTTTGTAATCCAAGTGAGAATACTTTGTAATCCAAGTGAGAATATACAAATGTACCGGTATAGTACATATATATATTTGGTGTATATATTTTGTAATCCAAATGAGAATAGTTTGTAATCCAAGTGAGAATATGCAAATGTATATATTCTCACTTGGATTACAAACCCTAACATTCTAATTTTAATTCCACCAAGTGAAGTGCAAGAATCCAAGTCCACCTTATCACAACCCGCACACCCGATTACCTAAATATACATGAACTTACGGTTAAAGCTCAACAGCTGGCATCTGTAGCTCAGTTGGTTAGAGCGCTGCACCGGAATCGCAGGGCCGTAGTTTCAATTCCTACCAGAGGACCTTGTGCTACATTTTTCGCAGTCGTTCCTTGTTAGGTCTTAAAATGTATATATTCTCACTTGGATTACAAACCCTAACATTCTAATATTAATTCCACCAAGTGAAGTGCAAGAATCCAAATTATTGAAGTCCACCTTATCACAACCCGCACACCCGATTACCTAAATATACATGAACTTACGGTTCAAGCCCAACAGCTGGCCTCTGTAGCTCAGTTGGTTAGAGCGCTGCACTGGAATCGCAGGGCCGTCGGTTCAATTCCTACCAGAGGACCTTGTGCTGCATTTTTCGCAGTCGTTCCTGGTTAGGTCTTAAAATGTAATATTATATATTCTCACTTGGATTACAAACCCTAACATTCTAATGTTAATTCCAACAAGTGAAGTCCAAGAATCCAAATTATTGAAGTCCACCTTATCACAACCCGCACACCCGATTACCTAAATATACATGAACTTACGGTTAAAGCACAACAGCTGGCCTCTGTAGCTCAGTTGGTTAGAGCGCTGCACCGGAATCGCAGGGCCGTAGGTTCAATTCCTACCAGAGGACCTTGTGCTGCATTTTTCGCAGTCGTTCCTGGTTAGATCTGAAAATGTATATATTCTCACTTGGATTGCGAACCCTAACATTCTAATATTAATTCCACCAAGTGAAGTGCAAGAATCCAAATTATTGAAGTCCACCTTATCACAACCTGCACACCCGATTACCTAAATATACATGAACTTACGGTTAAAGCTCAACAGCTGGCATCTGTAGCTCAGTTGGTTAGAGCGCCGCACCGGAATCGCAGGGCCGTAGGTTCAATTCCTACCAGAGGACCTTGTGCTGCATTTTTCGCAGTCGTTCCTTGTTAGGTCTTAAAATGTATATATTCTCAATTGGATTACAAACCCTAACATTCTAATATTAATTCCACCAAGTGTGAAGTGCAAGAATCCAAATTATTGAAGTCCACCTTATCACAACCCGCACACCCGATTACCTAAATATACATGAACTTACGGTTAAAGCTCAACAGCTGGGGCCGGTTGTATAAAACTCTTAATCGCTTTTTTAATCACTATTTTGTAGTAAAATAGTGATTAACTCTCAAATATGCGCTTCTTATTCGATGACGTTTCCACTAACTATAGTTAACTTTAATCACTTTTTTATACAACAGGCCCCTGGCCTCTGTAGCTTAGTTGGTTAGAGCGCTGCACTGGAATCGCAGGGCCGTAGGTTCAATTCCTACAAGAGGACCTTGTGCTGCATTTTTCGCAGTCGTTCTTGGTTAGATCTTAATTAAAATGTATATATTCTCACTTGGATTGCAAACCCTAACATGCTAATATTAACTCCACCAAGTGAAGTGCAAGAATCCAAATTATTGGAGTCCACCTTATCACAACCCGCACACCCGATTACCTAAATATACATGAACTTACGGTTAAAGCTCAACAGCTGGCCTCTGTAGCTCAGTTGGTTAGAGCGCTGCACCGGAATCGCAGGGCCGTAGGTTCAATTCCTACCAGAGGACCTTGTGCTGCATTTTTCGCAGTCGTTCCTGGTTAGGTCTTAAAATGTATATAATTCTCACTTGGATTGCAAACCCTAACATTCTAACATTTGAAATTAAGGATTTGGAGGTTTTGCGATCACTGATAACTTGATAATAATATAAAACAAAACACTTCTATCTGCAACTTTTACTATCACTGATAACTTGATAATAATTTAAACCAGTCAAGTTGTAGTTTAAATAGAGAATAATACATGGGTGCACGAAATACCAGATTTATTTCGAGTGTTGAACATGAGTGCGGAGCGAACAAGTGAGCGCATCGAACGAGTGAGATGTCATGTTCAACACGAAAAATAAATCTGGTATTTCCAACCACCCATGTATTTTTCTGTTTATTATATAAAGGACAGTCTTTGAAAAGCGATAATTTTTACAGAAAAGCGATAATTGAAAAGGCGATAATTTTCACATGTGAGATTGTCATGAATAATTTCACATGTGAGATTATCATTTTTATCAGTGGTCGAAATCTCTTTAAAATACTCATTAATAATTCATAAACCTTGTGGCAAATCATGTCAGCCATAATATGTCACGTGGAGTGACTTATATCTGATAAAACACATGTGGCATTATATAATTGTTCATCTTAATTAGCATGATTATACTATGGTTCATCCTAATTAGTATTCTTTTGTAGTCGTATTTTAAGCTATTCAAAACACTCGTTGTGACGTTGTCGTGTTTTATCAGATATATAACGCTCGGCTGCGCCTCGCGTTATATATCTGATAAAACACTCCTACTCGTGTTTTAAATAGTACATAAAACACTATACTTTATATAATAAAAATTCATAAATTTGAACCACGCTAGACCATGACAACAGCAAAATGCTCTATAGTATGATGCACAAAATTTTGGGAGATGAAATACACGAACAATAAATCAGAGAGTGTTTGCGTGAAACTCACTGGTGGGGGGTGGGGGGTGCAACACCCCTGATAATTTCTCATGAGGAATTTCAGGTAGATTTCCAGTGCACTTTTAGGTAAATTTAAGTAGATTTGCAGAAGATTTTCAGGGGAATTCAGGTAATTCTCAGGACATGAGAAAGTGAATTTGGAAAACAACTGTATTTTCGGAAAAATTATTAGATATCCTGAAAATTTTTTGTGCATCTGGAAACATTTTGGTAACCCCCCCCCCCTCTATCTAACCTCACACACCCCCTGAGACGAAGTGCTAGCAACGGCACTGAGTATACATCTTTTGGAAACAGACGAGGGGTTATTGCATGCATGTGTTTCTAGTTCATTAAAATTGTATTTTTAGCCCAAGGAGCACTTTTGAAAACTTCAATGTACGTTTTTTCCCGAAAAATATTTTAATTTTCGGAAAAAATATCATATATCCGAAAAAATTTTTAGTATTCCGGAAAAATTTTTCTCGTATTTAGGAAAAAAATGTGGTATATGCGGAAAATGTTTTATGATATGTCCGGAAAAATTTTTTGGACCCCTAAAATGGTACACTGACCGAAAATTTTTTGGCGCCGGGGGGGAGGGAGGAGGTCGCAAAAAAATATTTTTAGATGCCCTTTTTTTTTCGAAAAGTGCCCCTCAAGGCCTGGCCCCCCTCCAACTTTTCGAAGGTTCCTACGCCCCTGCCACCGATCACCATCTGTTGTTCTTTGACCTTCTACTTTACGTCAAATCGACCGGATGCGACAGAATAACTGTGTTCGATTTTCAACATGCTGACTGGAACGCTTTGCACGAGACTCTGAGTCATCTTGATCTTGCTCCGGGTGATTCCACTAATATCGATGCTGACTGGACGAAATGGGAAGATTTGTTTCTTGGTGCTGCTGCCAAACATATCCCGCAAAAATAATTCAAAAGACGTACCACTCCTTTGTGGATCGACGGCGAAGTTAAACACTTCTTCAAAAGAAAGACTCTTAGAGAAGAGCGGCCAAACAAACATCGTGCTCCAGCCTCTGGAAAAAGTATCGGGAGTTGCGACGTAAAACAAAGTCCATCATCTATGCGAAACGCAAGAAATTCCTTGAATCTCTGCCAGCCTTACTGAGATCGAGTACAAAGAAGTTTTGGTCTATTTTCAAGTCCGTTTCTAAGCACTCGAACATTCCCAACAAAATGTCATGGTCTCGTTCTGACGACGTAACAAGCTCAGCCAAGAACCCAGCGGATATTGCCAACTTACTCAACCACTACTTCTATTCCGTTTTCAAACCTTCTGACGACGAAGCATCCTTTCCAAACTCTAGCGACTCGCCCTCTGATAGTTCAGAATGTACCATCTCCAGCATCACCTTAACACCCGAGAAAGTTTACCACGCTCTTGCTGCTCTCGATGAAAACAAAACGACTAGCCCTGACAAAATACCAGCGAAACTCCTCAAAAACTGTGCGTCCAGTGTTTATTTATCGCTATGTGATCTCTTCAACAAGAGTTTATCTATGGGTAAACTTCCAAATGAGTGGAAACTCTCCAATATTGTTCCAATCCCACTGAAAGGCCCAGCTGAAGATGCGTCGAACTATCGACTAATATCTCTGTTGACCTTGGTCTCCAAATTTTGCGTCTACAACCAACTCGTATCACACATATCCACTCAACTCCACCATCTACAATTCGGTTTCCTCAGAGGCAATTGAACCACCTCACGGCTTCTTCACGTTCTCCAGGATATTCATCAAGCGTTGGAGAGTCGAAACCAAGTCGACGCTGTGTATCTGGACTTTGCAAAAGCGTTTGACAAGGTTAGTCATAAGCTTTTGTTGAGTAAACTTCACAAGTTTGGAATAAGAGGTGACCTACTAAATTGGTTTGAAAATTATCTCTCCGGCCGCTACCAAAGAGTCACTGTTCTGTGTGAGACTTCGGGTAAACTCCCTGTACTGTCTAGTGTTCCTCAGGGATCAATCTTGGGGCCCCTCCTTTTCCTAGTATATGTGAAAGATCTTCCACATTCCATCTCGGGCAAATCAACTGTGGCAATGCTCGCCGATGATACGAAGTGCTACCGTCCGATAAAAGATTTACCCTACTGCGAAGGTCTGCAGAATGATCTGAATAATCTCGTGAACTGGTGTACTATCTAGAAAATGGACTTAAATGAATCTAAATGCGGAGTAATTAGTTTCACAAGAAGTCGCCAACCAGTCACAACAGATTATAAACTACTGGATAGTTCTCGGAAGCAACTATGTCATCAAAAAGACCTTGGGATTGTTGTCACAAAAGATCTCAAGTGGACAAAACAGGTTGAAGAAATAACATCAAAGGCTTCATTCGTCGAACAGCCTCCGACACGCATAACATCCACGTGCGAAAGGTCTTGTACTTGTCCTTAGTGCGCAGCAAGTTAGGATATGCCAGCCAGGTGTGGAGACCTCAAGCTGTCACCGACATACTGTCCATTGAACGGGTCCAACGCCGCGCGACCAAATTCATTCTTTCCCTTCCTTACAAAACAGCCACAACATACAGGGAACGACTACTGGTTATCGGTATTCTCCCAATCTGTTATTGGCACGAATTTCTAGACTTAGTTTTTCTTTACAAGAGTATTTTGAGCAACGATGTCAATGTGCCAATACGAACAACCACCCGGACGACTAGAAACGCTAATTCTGTCAATGGTATTCTTCTTAATGTTTCTCGATGCAGGACAGTTAGCTACAAGAACAATTTCTATGTGAAAGCGCAATGCGTGTGGAACATTCTCCCTAGCAATATTTGTGACACTCCAAGATCATTAGCTTACTTTAAAACCCCTTTATTCAAATACTACTTAAAACTTTTAGAACAAATATACAACCCAGACAATCCTAGAACATTTAAGTCAGTGTGCGTCAAATGCCAATCAACTCAGTCTTTTAATAGCTTATTAGTGAGGACATGTTGTTGACATTTTAGCAAAATTTGATTTAATGTTATATATTGTAACTTATTGTAAGGGACCCCATAATTGGAGATTATCTCGGTGGCTAGTCCCTACCCGAATTATATGTAAATTTTGTAAAGTGTTAGTCTTATTTATGTCTGTTATGTTTGGCGAATCTTGTAAAATAAAAAAATAAAATAATTAGAGCCGGTGTGTCGGAATTGCGACCGTTCCGACAACACTGTTGACCAATTGCAGACCAGTTTTCAATTTCCCATCTGGTAGGTCAGCACCAAATCTAATCTCCACACCCTTTTGAAACAGGAGGCAGTACGTGGATCCACCAAACTGGAAAGTGCCTAGAAGATCACCTTTCTTCAATTTCTGCCCATAATATACCTCAATATCACAGCTTGAGACCTCAGCCATTCCAACTGCGATGAAGATCACTGTACCAATATTCTGGTTCCCTGTATCAATGTGGATTATGGCTCGGGTATTCACGTGAGCTATGTATCTTTGTGAATGTTTAATACCTGTTGGATGGTACCCCATCGAGAGAGCTTCTGCAAAGTACGCGCCTTCCTTAATGTATGCCTTCGTTATTATTCCGTCAACTGGTGAATGCCAGCGATGGTAGTTGTTAGGAAGGAGAAAGGCTTGAAATACAGTACCGCCCACGTATTTCTCGGCCAAGGCTTCATCATCGAGCAGATGTTCTAAGCTGTACGGCTGTGACTTGATCCAAAAGTGATCTCGGAGCTTTGGGTTTCTCTTGATGAAATATGGAGTGGCATCACATGGAGAACATATTACATATGAATTATTAGGCTCAGCGATTGGACGAACTTGGTCATTTTTCAATTGTCTGGTAAAGAAATCATTCCATGACTGGAATCCATAGTAAGGATCAGATAAATCGACTTTGTATGTGTCGACGAAGCCAGGCATTTCTGCCAAAGACGCTGGAGACAACCAACCATCCTTTTAATAAAATAAAAAATACCATGTTTACAGCTGATTCTTTTTATATAACTCGGATAAAAACCGAGGAGAAACATTGTAGGTATTTTTATTTGCTCTTTAATCATTAAAAGTGTACGTATCATTCTAATATCTTGATAATTCTAAGAAGAAATCTAAAAATAATTCTATAGTAAGAAAACATTTATACCGAACATTTATATCAATTGATTGTCAAAGGATGCTGATTTAATGTTTTCTTGTCATATATATCTAAATAATAAAACAATTAGTGAATTCGGTTTTCGCACAATATGAAGAATTATCAAGCCCTCAGGCTGAGGTTGATAACGGCAAACTGAGGGCTTGATAATTCTTCATATTGTGCGAAAACCGAATTCACTAATTGTTTTATTATTTATTTAAAAAATTCAGAGCAAACATTTGTATTTTATTTGTATTAAGAAAAAAAACCCAATTACTTAGTCCTTCAGCAGCCGACGTCATACTAATGGCGTCAGCGAGTCAATATATTCTCGTCGTCATAGTAATATGGCGCAAACGCGTCCAAATTTTTTTCATATTGACTCTTTGACGTCATTTTGCTAATATAAATGTGAAAAATCCAGATTTGGTTTGCCATTGAGTTGATATGACAATTTCACAGTTGGCTGTTAGCCAATCAGAATCCAGGAATTTTTGAAATAAATATATTTATATATTTGCTGACGCAGCGAGCGAGCCTGAAGCGAGCGACCTTGAAGTCAGCAGTTCTAATTCGTATTGGGCTCTGAAAGTAAGATTTTACTTCCGATTTTCCGACCAGAATGAACTGCTGTTAACCGACCAGAATGCATTGCTGTTAATCGACCACAATGCTTTGCATGCATGATGGCTATAAATACGGGGAATCATATTAGCCATGCAGTTTATATAACCATAGTTAATGGAGGAGATGGTTTGGAAACTCATTAGCATTACAATAAACCTCACTATCTATGTTTTTGTTCAGGTTTATGCAAAAATGTGGTCTTTATCGTCACGTGTGTATTGTATTTTTGCTCAACCAGCCAATAGCAACGGTTTTGTCCAATTGCCCATCCATGACTTTAGCAATAGGACATTTTCAACATTCCTATTGGTTAACTTGAGAAAAATACAATACGCACGTGACGATGAAAGACCACATTTTTGCATAAACCTGAACAACATAGATAATGAGGTTTATTGCGATTTTATTGTAACGCTAACGAGTTTCCAAACCATCTCCTCTATTAGTATAGGTAATAGCATGGTTTCGAGTGCAATTTGGATATAACATGCACGAGTGAGTTTTTCAAAGACCTCAAAATAGCACGAGTCCGAAGGACGAGTGCTATTTGAGGTCTTTGAAAAACTCACGAGTGCATGTTTATCCAAATTTCACGAGAAACCATACTATTACTTATTAATAATTTACATAAAAATGTTCGAGACAATTGTAGTTTTAACTTACGCGTTTATAGCGAACATTCCGCCGGCAAACTTTTCCTGGCTTTGTTATATCACATTATACAACGCTAACAGCTTGAAAATTCCACTCAACTATGTAATTTTTGTTAGTCTTGTTTAAGGTAAATGATTTTCCATTTAAAAATAAAGATAAAGATATTTTCCACGCGAAGGCAACTTTTACTTTATGTAGCGTGGCGCCATGTTTGTTTTGTTTTGAAGCAATCTGTGACCGTTACGTCTTTAAACTAAATTGCTTTAAACTGATTGGTTGATTTAATCATCACAATGTTTTTCCACCAATCAGATCAGCTTGTTACAGATTTTTGCACTGTGATTACAGAAAATTGCACTGCGATTACAGAAAATTGCACTGTGATTACAAAAAATTGCACTGTAATTACAGAAAATTGCACTGCTGTTTGGGATTAACTGCACTGAAATCAACCAATCACAGTCGAGTAATATCTTTATGTATATTATTAACTATGATATAACGATGCAGTTGTTCTGGTATATATTGTATTCATTGTATGGTATATACTGAATTTTTAGAAAGCGACATTTCCGTATTTGTGTTCTTTGCCTTATCGTTTTCCCTTCTCTTATCTCATTTCGCAGTAAAATCAACATGCACTGTATTTGCACGCTTGAAGCGTTTATTTCAAGCGTTAAAAGCGAACTTCGATCATCTCGATTGTTGTCGATCAGTTTAGTATTAAGGTTACTCCATATGATGAAAACATTTATTGTGTCCTTTTTTACATTTTTATCGATTTATATCGAGGGGCTAGAGATCTTTCCATTTCCGCAAATATTTTTTGAAAATATTAAAATGCAACCGAGATATAACCGAAAATGTTATAGTCTAATATATTTCCCCCGGGAAAGTTTTAATTGTGATTGACAGTGTGTGGATAAGTTTGACCATATGGTTTGACCACAGGGTGCATGTTACGCATCTGTGGCGGTATTCAACATTGAGCGACTTGTTTGTTTTAGATATAGCTATATATATCACTGTAATATTGTAGGTACACGCACACAACACAGTGTAATTTGCTTTCTAAGTAAAACGCCTGTTTAAAAAGTGATCAATCTTATATATAACTATATAAAGTGCGCTTGCTTATCACCTTGTCATTGATGCGGAGTCAAAATGAAACCCAGCCAAAACACACTTTAAAAGTCGAACCTGATTGGCTTCAGTTTGAAGTGATGACAGGGGGCGGAGAAACATAACAGAGAACGGAAAATCTCGGCGAAATCACTTTTTGTCTTTTACAGAGAAGGAATTATCAGCCCGGTTGTCCTCACAAAACGAGTTATGGAACGGGAACGTTTTATTCAATTGCTACCAAACTTTACCACGATGTAGCTTCTGTTCTATCGTTATTGTAAATTTTTGATGAGTCAACTTATCTGCTTTATATCTCGGCAAATATAATACCTGTCAAAAAACGCGAACACGGTTTTGTTCTTTGATCATTTAACATGGGAAATGTGATATTTCGAAAGCTTCTGAGTTTAATCGGATGGTTCTAAAGCTCGTCGCGCGAAGTGCGTCATATTTTCAAAAGCAGCTCGTAACAACCATAGTTTTTAAACATGTATAATTTTTGTTAAAGTAGTAGCAGCAGCAATGATTTATCGTTGTGAGTGCCAAATTTGAGTGGGGAAACTGAAAAATTTAGTGCGCGGCGAGCATTTTCCTGAAATGGAGTAATTTTCATCATGTGGAGTAATCTTAATTTAAACAGGCTTTTGTCTGTTGACTTTTTGTTTGAATGATTTGACTAAGGTATAATTGACACGGACTGATGGCATCAACAGTTCGGTAACTGCCGACTATGACTACAGTATGGCATTTACATGATTTTTCATGGGTAAATTGATGTATTTTTGCCTGCCAGAAGCACTACAGGATGTATCAAAAATTATAATTTGCAAGATTCTGCTGTTTGACTAGATTTCAATGTCTGTGCTATAGTTATTTTGCTCCTGGTATTTGAAAATATATTCTAATTAACCGCGTTGATAGTAATTAGAATAACACAAAGTTATTTGTAATGCAGAAAACTATTGACGTATTGTATTTATACGCACACTTGCATGGGATCAGAATTAGTTCTAAATCCGTGCAAATTCTAAAAGAATTTTGCAGGTTTTTTTATATACCCAGTATGCTGTATACACAATATACAGTAATGTTATGCTTATGCATTGTTTAACCATGCCACGCAGCCAGGGGCAAGTCAGTAGATTCGAAGCATGTGCATGGAATATTTTTTTATCATTGATCAGGCTTTTCTTATGTCTGGCATGTGTCGAATGCATTAAAAATAATGTCCTTAACTCTAGTTTTCGAAGTAACGTGGCTTTAATTTGACGTCCTTGGATGCAAGTTTTGCTCCATGTTGTTCGGTATTCAGTTCTTAAATGACTTCGCATCAGTAAATTCAAATAACGACGATGCAATAGCCCGCCGATGGCGATGGTATGCAGGGTGTCCCAAAAACCTCAAAACCACTGAAATAACATATTGTTAGAATCTGAATGCCCTAGCACTAAGTTGAACGCAAAACTGCGTAAAATATTGAGAGGGTACATACACACTGTAAATTAAAAAGGGCCAAATCGACCCCAAATTCCGTTTCAGCCCTTTTGGGGCCAAAGCTGTTTTGGCCCTATGTGAAAGCCATTTTGGCATTGGAGAGCTGGATCGGCACCGACGGAGCAATTTTAGGTATGGAGGAAAGCCAAATTGGCCCTACCCTTTGCCGTAACGGACCCATCATTTTCCAATTTAGCCCCATCAATTGTCAGTATGGCCCCACAGACCAAAACGACTCTCACGTCCGGGTTTGTTTTGGCCCCACATAAAGGGGCCGCTTTTGATCAACACTTTGGCCCCTATGAGCTTCGTTTCGGCTCTCCATCGCGGAACGACTCCCGCATAGGTCAAATCGACCCTGGAATGAAATCGACCCTTTTGTCGAAACGACCCTTCTGTCAAATCGACTCTTAATTGTGTCAAATCGACCCTTCTGTCAAATCGACTCTTAAATGTGTCAAATCGACCCTTCTGTCAAATCGACTCTTAATTGTGTCAAATTGACCCTTTTGTCAAATCGACTCTTATTAAAAATGTGTCAAATCAACCCTTCTGTCAAATCGACTCGTAAATGTGTCAATTCGACTCTTCTGTCAAATCGACTCTTAATTGTCAAATCGACTGTTAATATTGTGTCAAATCGACAGTCTTAATTCTGTCAAATCGACCCTTCTGTCAAATCGACTCTTAATTGTGTCGATCGTCCGTCGTACATCGTATCAAATTAACTTCCGCATAAAACTTCAAGAATGCACATGCTCGCAGTCGCAAAGAAAAAGAAGAGGACGTTTTTTGGATTATACAAGGTGAGATTTGATGTTTCATTTTGTAGGGTATTGAAATTTGTTTTCCAGATTTTTAGTAATTTTATCGTAAATATAAA